GCGCCCGCCCGGCCCCGCCGCGCCTCCCGCCCCGCGCCCCGGCCCCGCCGCTGCCCCGCGCCGCCGCTGCCCCCGCCGGCCCAGCGCCGCTGTCAGCCGGGCGGGCGCCCGCGGCCCCTCCGGAGAGCTCGGCAGCACGGCGCCCGGCGCCACCCCGGTACATGGATTACCTGGTAGGTTCCCGGCGGCAGCGGACCGTCGGACATTTTAACTGAGCGGCTGGGGCGGCGTCCGCGGCGCGACGGGGTGCGGGGGGCAGCCCGGGGCCGGGGGTAGCCGGGTCCGACCGTGCTGCCGCGCCCGGGCCGGCGGGCTGTTAACGGGCGATAAAGCGGCCGGGCCCCGCTCATTTGGCCGCTATTAGGTTGCTAAAGCCGTGACCCGGGTCGCTGTTTTTTTCCTAAACGCTGGAGCTTAGGGCATGCTCCAGTGAACTAAATTGCTACCGCGGACGGGATCAGCCGAGCGCCCGGGCAGCTGGTATTCGGGGGTAGTGTTTATGGCTCTTTAATGAATATTGGCTCCATTCGTCTGTGAAAGATCGTATCGCGGGCGTGCACCTCAGCTGGGATCGTGGCTGGTGTTTGCACTCACCCGCGCACCCTCGGCGGGCGAAAGCCCTTTGGCACGGCTGGCTCATGAGCAGGTGGCTTTGTTTTAGCATGGTACCTGCTTACCTGGTCTTTTCAGCCCAGCAGTGGGGGGGTGTAACGAGCACACCCCATCGCTCCAGTCCTGTTGGCATCCCATTGCTCCAGTCTTGTGGCTTCGAGCTCTGTGCTGTGAACTGGTGCCCGCTCCTTCACCGTGAAATGCTGCGAAGCGTCAGCTGGGGCAGTGACGAGCAGGCATCTTCTGGCCATCCCTGTTCGTTGTTGGTGTCAAGTGGGACCAGGAAGTATTTTGAGTCAGAATCTTGACTCTGTCATTCATACTTTTTCACACGGGATGCTCACGGGTGTACACTTTCAAGAGAGGCTCATCAAATGCAACAGAATCTCTGGAGATGCTCTTTTTAATGAACAGAGTATTCGCCGTGCTGAGATGAGAGCTGCATGCAGTGTCTGGCTTTTCCTTTTCTGGCAACTAACTAAACCAGAAATACATTAAATTAATACTTCACTATTCTTGTGTCTACGGAGCTAAGATTTGTTTTGGTTTATTGAGCCTTGCAACCCCCAAAATGTTTTAGGCTTGCCTTTCTGAATTTGAATATTACAGAGAGACACTAGAAAATGAGTCCTGTGTGGCAGAAATGGTTGGCAGACTTCTCTTTAACAGCCTAGTTAATGAAATACTGATAATAAACTTGCTGGGTATCAAGTGCAGCCTCATAGCTCCTTGAGAGCCTGGAGCTGTTTCTGAGATATTTTTTTTCCTTTATAAACTTATGGCCAGATGAAACTGGTCATTCTGTACTTTTTCAAATACTTGCATTAACCTTTGTGACTGCTACAGGCTGTTGTGTGGAAGGCTAACCACTCTGAGAACAATAAATTTAATAAGCCTTGCAAACTAAGAGCATGTTTTTGTATTAACTAAAGGGGGGAGGGGATTAAATAGCAGTGGTTTTTTTTTCTTCCCCTGACTCTTATTCTCCAGCTGATCCTTTTCCTCTTTTTTTGTCACGTGGCCTTCTTTAGTGTCAGTTCTAAAAACTGTTGTTGATTATGAGGTTCAGGCACCTCAGAAAGTCTGCTCTAACAACAACAACAAAAATTATGATGGTCACTTAGACAACTGGTTGTGTAAATCTGTTTTTGGCTTGTTGTCACAGTCTGCCCTGGTGTAAAGATGGGCCTGCTCATTATCTATGCAAGACTTGAAGTTAAGTGTGAATGTTAAGCTATGGCTGTAGAACAATTGTCTCATTATTTCCATAGCAAAAAGAGCTGTACATGTTAAGGAATTTTGTGTTTTGTGCATTTATGTTGGGTTCTTGCACGTACATGGGCATGAAAACACAAACAGAAGGTTTTTGGTTCCTCATGTGGGGCACCTGTGTTGCAGCCTGCCAGCAGTGAGGTTTTCTCCCGTGCTTGCAGTGTGAGGCAGAGAGCAAAGGATGAGTTGTTTCCTCTTGCAGTAGTGCTGAGACAGAGTATTTGGCGAGTTTTGGTTATCAGTGGGGCTGCGTGAGGGAGTGTAGTGGAAGGAGGTGAGGACAGATGAGGTCAGGTTTGTTGCTGCATGAACTCAGGGGTCAGTGCATCTCCACAAGGAGTCTACCCTCAGCCCCTCAGCCATCTCTTCCCAGACTGGCATAGGAAGGTTCTTTTCCTGATTTTAGCTGTATAGGACCTGCATTGATGGAGAAGTCTTTTTTCCATTAAGAATCAGATCCCTAGAAGTAATGAACATCTGAAGCACCTTCCAATATCATCAGGTTATTGAAAGTGCTCAAAACCTTCTCAGAGTAGATTCAGTTGGAGCCAGCTTGGCCTATGGCCTAAAACTTTTATGGGCAGATACCCAAAACCTAAGTAGTGCCTTCCCTACTTAAAGTGTGATCTTCAATTTATGGATAATGCCATTTGATAATAAATTGGTACTAAAAGAGTATCTCCAGTGATGCTCTGGTCTATTTTTGCAGTTTTACATTGTAACAAAAAAAGTATCGCTGGCCTCTGTATCTTTGATAGCTAGAGGAGGCTCTTCAGCCTGGTGCCTCTTATTTTTGTGTTGCTATAATTATGATGTTAGGAGTGGTGTGTTTTTTTTTTTTTTTAAATCAACATGATTAAACCAAATCCAACCTGTAAAAAGAATACATCTTCACTCAGAGGCACCTTTTACTTACATGTGTTGTTCTGCTTGCATTTAGTTAACTCTTTTAGAACATGCTATGTCAACACAGCTGAATCAATGTAGATTTGCAGGTTTTTGCGACTACATAATCTAGGGTGCTGTTCTGCAACCTTCTTCAGCTTCATTCTTGCTACATTGTGTCTGGAAGGATTTTAGTGTATTCAGAGACTTGTGTTGGTTGGCCTCTGTTCAGTAGACTATGCTTAATTTAAGGAGTTATGCCATGATGCATCTTGTGAAAAGCATGGCATGTTACCAGTCTTACTTACAGTTCTTGCTTGGAGAACTTGTGGGGAAACAATAAAAAATGCTTCGGTTTTTCCTATGTGCTGCAATTGCAATGCAGATTTTAAGCTCCTGAGTAGACTTTCACAATACACTTCTTCAGTGGCATCCTCTGCACTGGGTAAAGTTCTTACATGCTTCTGTTCTATGTATCAGCCTGATCTGTGTAGAACTTTTAAAAACTGCTTGAAAGAGTGATGTAGAAATTTGAATCTGTCTCTTCACAAAAGGAAGGTGTTATATTTGCCTAAGAGGTTTATAATAAAAAATTGATAACCTGTTTAATTTTGTATCTTTAGCATTTTCATTATGACAACTTATCCATAAATTATATCCCAAGGTACAATATACTGTCTTAGTTGTAGATAAAAAGTGTTTCTTGGGGAGGTATTGAAGAGCAAATTCTGACCTGAAATGGAAGATAACTCTTCTTGGATGATGAACTGCTTCAGCTTCAGTAATTTTTTTTCTTTTTCATCTTTTTGGGTCCTTTTTCTGAGGAGTTTAACAGAAACATGGGTTCTGCAATGTCAAGAGAGTGCACACTCCTAGTGTGCTAGAATCCTTGCTGCTTTGTTGGGGATTGGTTTCTTTTAACTATAACAAGTTTGGGTGGGCTCTTGTTGTTCTTTGTACACTTGTTAGCAGATACAAACTATTTTGCTCCAGTATGCATGCACATGAAATCTAAAATTTTGTAAAATTTTTGAGTGAATTCAACTAAATTTTCAAATTTTAAATGAATATGTGAATAGGCCTTGAACTGACTTAAGAGTTTCTGCTTTGTTTCTGAACAGTCTTGACCTCACAATCTAAATAGTTAGTATTCAGACAAAGTCTTGGTTGGGGAAAGCTGCATAATCCAAACTGGTGTTCTTAAAGTGTTAGGTGATATTTAAAAAAAAATTAAATGTTTTTGAGCAGCTTTTCTTTTTTGGGCCGCTTACTTTTAACACCTTTCTTTTAAATAGTTAGACTCTTTAATTTAATTGGACAGGTTAGATTCAGAAAGTCTCATGTGGGATAGATCAAGACCACTTAGTGATTCTGGTATACTTCAGATCCAGTCTTTCCATTGCTGTTGCCAGTTCCATTGTTTGGTATCTGCAGGTCACAGAAAACATTTTTTTCTCACACCGCAAATGCGTTTGAGAGGCGTATGTTTGAAGGTAAGAGTTTTACTTCACTGAAACTTTGTAAACCAGGAGATCCTGTCCTTTGAATAAGGAAAAATGGGTTGAGGTCCATACTAGCAACTCTGTATTTTTCTTCTGAGGCACATGTGTGATGTGGATACATTGCCTGCAACATGAGCAGCCACGGTCTATAGGCAGGGCCACGTCCTCTTACTGTTTGCTGAACACCCCTCTCACAGGAATTCTGTCTTTTGTAATGTAACAATAAAGAACGTTTGGGCCCTATGTTGACTGATCTATCAGCTATAACAGCCTTGAAAACTCACACCTTCTGTAGAGCACAAGGGCTTCTATTTTATTATTGTCCCTTCAGTTATTATCGTCCCGGGGGTAGGTGGGTAGTTTGGGAGGTTGATTAGACACAAGGATGGGGCGTCTGACAGTTGTTTCAAAAGAAATATATAGCTGAATGCAGGAAAGAAAACAACAGCTGTAAAGTGCATGCAACTGTATTAGTGTTTGGATCAGATGTGGATCTTTTAATTGGAGAAGGTAATGTTTACCTAGGTTTGCATTGCAGAGTGATCACAGATGACATGAATTTAATATTTTTCACATGAAACCAGATGGAAGCATTTACTTCACTAATGGGTTTTTCCACCACAGGCCTAGATCAGAATTAGTGTCTGAAGTATGTAGTAAGAATACTTGGTCTTCAATTCCAGCTCTTGCTATGTACTACCAGACCATGTTGCTCTGCAGTGTGCTGCTCCTGAATTCTTCAGTCAGACCTCCAAGCTTCAAGGCAGCATGGTGATGAATTTCACAAAAGGTTAGAAATGCAAGCTTTTAGTAAGTGAGAATATCTGCATTTAGTAAGGACAAAATATTCCTTCTAATACCACATGCTGATTAACATTTTTGGCTTGTTGTCAGTATCATCAGCTCATGTTTTTTAATACTGCCAGCTTGTGATGTTTATTCTTTTAAACGGAGTTCTGAAGTTTTGTGATTGTATGAGGATATTAGCTCTCCATTAATAAAAGAAGCATTTTTAGTTTAGTTTAAAACCACAGATGTGGCCCAAAGAGCTCTAAAGCCCTATGAAAAAAGCCACAACAGTATTTAAAATCTTTTGCTTCTTTGTGTTTTGGCTCGTGCTGCTCTGCATTATGTTGGTTCTGCTGTTTTTTCACTGTGTGTGCAGGATAACTTTCTGAAGTGCAAGCTGTCTGACTGTGACTATATAAAAGTCCTTGTGGACATAAGTAGGGTATTTGCAATCTAACAAAAGATGGCTCATGCCAGAGCTCTTCAGCATACAAAATTTATTCTTTCTCTCTGACAACCTGGTAAGGTGACTAAATTAATTGTCAATGAGTGTGTAAGTAAGTTCCCTCTATCTGAGGAAGAGACACAAAGCAGGAAATGTAGCTGACAAGTCCTCTTATGCTAGATGCAGTCCTGCCTCAGAACTTTGTTGCTTGTAAGAACAAACTGTAGGAAGAGCATGAATCTTTGATGCTCTGTATGTTTTGGTGGAGGAACAGAAGAAAAATTTGTTCACAGGACCCACATTAGCTTCTGGCATTGGAGAATCTGGGTAAGCAAGATGGCATCCAAGATCCACTAGGAGCTGTTGATATGGGGGAAGTAAGTTTTCAGATTTCCTTTTTTTATTATGACTTGGAGCTTTTATACAGAAGAAACATCTGTTTTCCACATTTTATTAGCTTTTATAACAACTGTTGCTAAGTCTTCCTTTATATGATTTTGACTCTAATAGAGGTGAAAAGCTTAAACCAATTAAAAATGAAGTAATAGTTTTGTAATCTGTAATACAAATTTCATGAGAAATACAAATGAGCATTGAGAGCACAGCTCTGGCAGTGAATAAGAGGGAGAAGTGAATGCAGAGATTACAAGGGAGTTTCATGTTTGTGTTTAGTTGTATAAACTGCTTATGCTTTGTGTGGGCTGGTGCAGAGACAAATATTAAGAATGCATATTGAACCCAGGAAGAAAATCTAGTACCTCTTTTGATATTTGTAATAAAATAGCAGATGAAATTCAGTGTTGATGCATGCAAAGTTGCATATATTTTTAGAAGAAGTCACATGGAAGTACAGATGCATGGATAGGCCCTAAAATATCATCAGTACTCAGGAAAGGGAATGAGGATCCTTCTTTAAAATGTCATCTCAACCCAGACATCTGTCAACAAATTTTGAGTATTAAGAAGGAAAAAGAGGGAAAGATCTCATTTTTACATTGCTTAAATATAAGTTTTGCTCTTGTCTTACTTGCTGCATTTCTGGTTGCATCATTTCAGGAAGAGTATTAAAAAAACCAAAGAAAATACAGAGAAGGATGATGTGGTAATTGAAGAAAAGCAATTTCTTCCATACAAGCAGAGATAAGTAGTTACAGCTCTTCAGTCTGAAGAAAAGACAGCTGACTGGTATGAGGAGGTAATAGTCTAGATGTCTTTTGAATCAGAAAGAGATTAGGCAATAAGCAATTTTTTTTTTCTATACAGAAGAACTCACAGTTATAATCCAGGAACTGTGTTTTCATGTGAGTGTAGTTGAATTCTCACTTGTGCAGTAATGTTAGGGAGGTGAAAATGAGTAGACCAGGAATTTGTACAGTGTCTTCAAAGACAGGTCCACTGTGGGTTGGTATTAAACATGATGTTCAGATGTGATGGTAGGAAATCCTGAAGTTGTGATTACTGGAACATAAGGATAGGTCCATGAGGTATGATTCCCTGGATATCCTGATGCTTTGCTGTGGACTAAAGATATCCTCCTCATTATTCCTCCTCATTGAGGAGGAATCTAGAATCAGTTCTTGAACAGGAAATTGCAGTTAGGAAATTGAGATATTCTGAGTGGTGTCCAGGAGTGCTGTTCGGTGTAATCAAAATTTCATTGACTGCACAGGAGGTGGGACTTTTCAATTCAGAGGTATTCATGAAGATACTTAATCTGCTCCAGGGGCACACAGCTGACAGATTCCTTTTTCTTAGAAGTATGTATGAGGAAAGGCTATTGGCTTTCTGACATCTGTGTTTTAACAAATTTATAACTTTTTATGTAAGGCCCACAACACTGAGTGAACCTGAAACTGTATAGACAACCTGTGTAGAGGGATGATGCACTCTACAATAAGTGCTCTCTTTTCTCAGTGCTTTCCTCTTGCCTAGAAACTTGCATAATTTCTGGTTTCACCAAGACCGGAGAAAAGGTCCAGAATTCTTGAGAAACGTCTATGCTGCACTTGCAGCTATTAATTTTCTGCTGGCTAATCTGTATCTAACACTGCCTCAGCCACTTCAGTCCTGGAAACAGTAATGGAAAACTGTTCTACTGAGAATATTGCCTAAAAGAGAGGAGAGCATTGTTCTCTGGTGCATCCATTTGATTACTTTTTATGATGACAAGAGAGTTCTTGGATTTAGTCCTATTTTCTGTTCACATATCATTGCTTTTCCATCAACATCAGGTTTCTTCTAGTCTGTAAACTGAGATTTATTTTTCTAATGATTATGTATAAGAAGATTATTCAGTATTAAAGGAGAATATGAAAATATTTTCTGTGCCTTTTTTTCCCTGAGAACAGTATTAAAAAGAATTCAGGGAGTTTAAATTAGAAATGTTATTAATGGGATGTGCTAGAGGGCTGTGACATCTTGTGCAGAAAGGGGAACCTTGGAATTACTAGTTGGAGTTCAGCAGGCAAGGTTAGCAAACAGCAGTTCTGGTAAAAGTTCCTGCTACCTTTACCAGTAGTGTTGTGTGTTCTTTCGGGTACCCACATCTTCCTTACAACACATAAACACTGAGAATTTGTTTCAGGCTCCATACTTAAAGGTACCTTAAAACCTGCATATTTTATACATTGGTATTGCTAATTTTTGCAATTTTATACACTGAAAAAGATGCAGATAAGAATAGAGGTGGAAAAACTTTTGCCTGGAAGATACAGCAATTCCAAGCGTTTACTGGGTTGTATCACTTCATTATAAATGAGCAGAGGTGTACCTTGATCTTAAATGTATTAAAGAAACATATCACCAGAAAAAAAACCTCTAACATCTTCCTTTTCTTGTTTTGCTTTCTGTTTTTGTGGTCTTGGAGCTGTATTCAGTGCTGTAATTTATATAAGACTATGCCACAGTGAGTTGAGGTCGAGGTGAGTATTTCTGCTGGGTGGCAGAATTGACTGCTCCTGCAGTTCTGTCAGGTGTTGGGTCTTTTGGTTCTTTCCTGAGAACTTGGTTAGGAGCACCCTCCCCTTTTGCCCACCAAGGTTCTTGAGGCTAATGCTTTCAACTCGGTGCTAATGCTTTCAACTCGGTGCTTGAAGTCATCAGTTGCAGAACATGCTCTAATTAATCTTTTCAAAATCTGGTCTTTTGTAAATATTATGACTAGGGATTTAATCTTGTATTTGCTGACAAAATAGATATTTAAAACAATGGCTTTGTGAGTTGCAGACTGTGTGCCTGTGTCAGAGCTGAATGAGATTTTTTTTTTAAACACCAAATACTGAAATTGCTTTGTACTGATAGCAGAATACTTGAAAAAATGGACAGAACAGATGCTTGTTGTGAATTGAATGCTGCACAGCTGCAGGGCAGACATCTTTCTAAGTCATTATAAACAGCCACATTTTTGCAAGGTATGATTAAAATAACAAAGTCTTGGGTGAATAGGAAAGTTAGCTATGAATTTGCTTTCCAGTGGGAGAAATTATTTAATGTTTGTGAGATGACCCTTTTCCAAGGCAGAAGGGTGCTTTTTGACCGAGACACATGAATATAATATTTGACATATTTGATCTGATGACTCCATTTTTCGCTTTAGACATGTGAAATCACATCTGTGAAGAATTAGTCTTTGTAGAATTGTGTCAAACAAGGTATCTTTCTTTCATAGTATTTGTAGGTATATTTTTACATTTTTTTTCTTTTATTTTCATGCCTACCGTGTAAAATCCTTTCAGAAAGCAACAATAAACTGTAAGTAAATTATGTGTAAATTTTCCAACAATTGTTATGTTGCCCAATTGTATGGTCCCAAGTGAGTTGCTGCAACCGCAGTAATGAAAGATTACAAGTGTGAAGAATAAACTCCCCATTGCAGCAACAGATAATCAACTGTCTTAATTCAGTGGTCAGACTGATAGTCTGAAGGATAGTATCACTAAACTTTTAATTATTTAAATCAATTCCTGTCACTTTTTCAAGGATTAAACTGAAATACTTCTGGGGAGGGAATGTAAATTTTCAGAAGAAAGGATAGGTGAATATAATAAATATTAATAGTAGTGTTGGATTTAATGACCCTTTTTACCACAATAGAATGTAGTTTATAAGCATTTTCTTGGAGCCTTGAAGAAGGGATTATCTTAATATTTCACTGGGAAATGCATAAGGGAAACATTAATCAGTACTTTATGTGACAGAATTCATGCCTGATAATAATTAAAATAGCCTGTGGTTTTAGAATATTAACAATTGCAAACCCAACAATGGATAAGTAAGGTAACATGGGATGTAGGTTATTTTATTTTACTGAAGCAAGGATCTACAGGGGCTTGCTGGAGAATTTGAACTGCAGCTTAGTTCTCCCACTAATGCATAGCCTGGAAGTAGTGAACAAAAATTAAAACAAAGAAAACAATTTATAATGCTGTGCTTGTCTAGAATAAAAGCAAACCGTATACATGGAGAAGCTATAATGGTTTGCTGCTGCTGCATGTTTACTTCTCTTGCAAGCTGAAATAATAATTTACTTTATATACAAAGTTGTCTGCCAGCAACATAGATTCTGCCAGGATACTGAAAATGCAAATCATTCAATGTATCACCCGGTGTTTAAGTATGGGCTTAAATTGCCACAGACCAAGGTTAAACATTAGGAAACTTTCTAGTAGAGAGGGTAATGAAGCACTGGACTAAATTGCTTGGGGAAATCATCCATCCCTGGAACCTTTGGAACAAGGCCTGCAAATACTGTCAGCAGGGGTATGGTCTATGACCCCACCCCACCACTTTGTGTAACTAGGATTTCTTGAAGTCAGTTCCTGTTTCTCTGTCAATTTTTTCTTTCTGGGAGACGCTCAGAGCACAAGAGATAGACTTTGATGTTTGGTCTTAAAGCTGAAAAAAAAATCTGCTTAAACTGAAATGGTGTTTCAAGTCAGCATCTCCTTGTCATTAATAGCATGCTAGATTACTTCCGGTAAGAAATGAAAATCAGCTGTGCTGTTGAAGTTTGTTTTCAGGTTTTTTTGCTGTGCTTTTTGACTTTCAGACAGTTCAGTGAAATAATGTTTGTTTAAAATTTAGATGTAGCAGTTAACAGCAAAAGAAAAATATTGCTAAACATTTTTTTTATTACTTGTAATTAATAAGATCTGTTGTTTTGTTTTTTTTTTTTTAAAATCCCAATTCTATTTAAATGGGTATTTCAATTCCATATTGGTTTTTTTTTGGAGGGAGGGAGAAATTAGAAAGCAGATGCTGAAAAGATGTTTTGATTGGTATGTTTGAAGTCTGTATCATCCAACACTTTTTCTTAGATAATGTGTGGACTTTTGAAACATGTAATGAAAATGTTCTGCTTGAGGGTTTTAAGTTTTGTCTTTCAAATACCTTATATAAAGTAATTCCTCAATTACTCTTCTGAACAAATGATTGTAAGCTTAGTTTATTTTACCTAGTTGTATAGGAAATATAGCAAACCTACAGTAGTTTTTATTTTGGTGTTGGAGAGCTGCATTTATTTACTGGCTTTGTTGTGCTAATTAAAGAAGGTGTTTTTCATCTGTTTCATCAGAAATTCGTAGTCCATCCTCAGCCTCTCTGGGTGACTGCAGAAGACATAGAATTGTGGCATCACAGCAGATTGGAAGTTGAGCAAGTTGAGGGTAAAAACTTTTAATATGATTATTCTCAGCTTAAGAACAGATTAAAGAAAATGTTCTATTTTTGTGTTCTACTTTAGAAAGCTAAAACAATAAGGCTCCAGAAATGTGCAAACATTAAATTATATGCAGTATTCTGCTATATAGAGGAAGACAGTTTCAGTGATGGTAAAAGGAGAGAAAAATATAAACGCAGAAGCTCTTTACAGTCCACTAAGAGGCCAAAAAGAACTCCATTAAAATGATTCTTGCAGATTGTTTTTAAATCAGAGTAGATAAAAATAAATGAGACTGAAAGCTTACATGCAAATTATTAATGTTGTGTACAGGCATTTTTGGGATCATTAGATAAATTGAGACCTATAAAGAAATACTGAACTAGTGAGTGTGAAGGTGTTGACACCTCTACACTTAGCTGCTTCTGTATGAAAGGTAGCATGTATCTGTATAACCTGAATTTATATGGCACTTTTTTAAGGTTTTAATACAGCTTTGAAAAAGGTGTTTCTTTCAGGGGAGAGGGGAGAGATGGGAAGAAAAGTAGTTCTTAATAAACAGCATTCTTGATAATGTTTTTATTTTAATTCCTTTAGACTATGTCTGAATGTATCCAGCTCTCATTTGCTGTTTGTAGAATTGGCATTTACACGGTAAGGCAATGTTCTAACTAAGTATTTTTGTTAGTGTTAATGCCATTTGAGTGAAAAGAAGTTACTTAAGTTTTTTAGGATTGGATTTAAGTAATGCAGATAGCAAAAGGGATTTGTCATGCTAGTTTGCATAAACAGACTACAGTAAATTTTTGTCCTTTCAAAGATTAACTAATACTAGAAGAGAAAACGTACCCTCCATTTTAGTTAAAAAATGATAAGGAAAAATTCAGCCAGCCTCTTGAGGTGTAAGAAAATTTAGAATTCATGGGCATCAGTTGCTGAAAATTCTTGTGTAATGTAATTGCTGGAGGGTTTATGTACATTTGCCATTAAATGTCTGTGATGTTTTTGTAATGTCACATATTAAAACATGTTAGCTAAATGCACATATTTCAAGTTTTTTCTGGACAGCCTTAACATTTTGGAAATGCTTTTAAGTTAAACTTAGCAAAACTTATATAAAAGACATAAGAAGTTTACTTCAATTATGTGTCCCAAATATGCTAGTATTTTTTTTTCTGCTCCTGGTTCTTGTAATTAATGTTGAGAACACTTAGTTGAATGGGGTTTTGTAGAAACTAACTTTAATTAATACATTACAATAATGTAGTATATACAGAGCTTACACAATGAATATGACTCGATTTCTCAAATCATGCTTCATATCCTGGAGCTTTTGGAGTGGGAATGCTGCTCCTTCTGTTAGCACTTTTCAGGAGGAAGCCTGGAACATACCACTTCATACAGCCAAAAGTATGGGTGAGTTTTGACTAATAGTGAGGAGGGCTATGTGCCATTAGTAAATCTTACTTGAGGACAGAATCCCAAAGCTTTACATTTGCTTCTGTTCACAGAATTTGGTTCCAGGTAGTGTTAAATATCTGCTTGAAGCTTTTTTCCCATAACATTTGCCTGCTTTCTGTTTTCAACATCTAAAACCCTTTTAAATGGCGGAAAAGATGAGTCAAAGGCATATTTCCTTATGGTATTTAAATTTCTTAAGAAGACTTTCTAAGTCTAAAAATTACTGTCTGATAAGAGTATACTATCTTAAGGATCAGAGAAGGTTACAGTCTGAGCTTTCAATGGCTACAAGGTACTCAAATGGTCTGCTGGTTCTTTAGAAGGCTAGATTAAGCTGCTCAAATTAATTTGAGAGAATGTCCAAGTATAAATATGTGTGTATTATGCACCTGGGTATGAGAAGGTAAAATGTAGTACATCCTCTGATAGTAATCAGTTCTGTTTTAGTTTAAAATAGGTCAAGTGTTGTCTATATACTCGAGTGCTCTGCTAAGTTGTAGTGGTTGCAGTTATAGTGATAGTTTAATAAGTGGTATCTCACTCTGAATTTTTGGGCAGAAAAATACTTAATTTTATCAAATGTTTTAAATTGAAAAATAAAACCAGCTTGCTGAATTTATTAAAATGCTGAAAGAAATTGATTTCATTGATTGCTGGTACTTAAGGGGGGATAGTGAGGAGATGATGACTAGGCTTCAGAGCATCTGGAGCAGTGTTATGGCCACAGTGTGCCAGGCAGGGCATGCCATGTAAAGTGCATCTGAAGGCTAAATTGGTTCCTTTAGGAAAATGCTAGCTGCAGAGAGTACTTGCTTACATGAAATGCCTCTCATTGGAAAGGTGAGTTTCAAATGATCTGACTGGAGGGTAGGCTTGTACAGTTTTGGTGTCATAGTAAACAGAGAGGCCTGCTGAAGTGAGAGCTGTGCAGAAGAACAGTGTGATAGTTTCTGCCTCTGCACCATACCCTGCTTGTGCTTGTAACTGTCACCAGATTTGGTACTCAGGTGGGTCAGCAGTCTGGCAGCTGTTAGGTACTGAGTGCTCCATACTGATGTCAAGAAGCAAACTTCCACAAAACTCCAGTTCATGTTTCCCTTCTAATTAATTCCCTGGGTGTTGTGCTTTCTGCTGCGTGCTATTTTGCAGATTCAGTTGATTTTCCATTTGCTAGCTAATTGATTTTTATCCAAAATCTAAGCAGTCTCTCAGTCCTTAGCAACACCATGTGTTCAGCTTGTACTGAGGTACTAGGACACTTCCTGTTCTGCATGTCCTCATGGTACAGTGCTGCAAGTAAGGCTCTTAGTCCTTTGGACTACAGACATCTCAACTGTTAGCCTGTTATCAAGCTGCTTATCAGTAACACTCTAAAGCACCCATTACATCAACTGTACTACACCATTAAAGTAGCTTCCTGTTTTTCTGGAATGTACAGGTTATGAGATGGGGGGAGAGTTTATGTGGTGATCTATGGCAAAACAGCCTGTGCTGCCTGCCGTGAGGAGAAAACCTACATCTTTGCAAGAATATAGGAGGAGATGTAATGCCTATTTCAGGTGAATTAACTAGATGAAGTGTATACCCTTGAGGGAAGGAAGAGCAAAACAGAGGTGGTTAATATGAAAACTATATAGATTTTTGAAGGGGTTTGAAACTGATAGATGTTTCTTTCTAAAAGGAAAACATTATCATAAACTCAAATGAAAACTTTTGTGATTAAGAAATCAACCAGCCAGTGAAAATAAAACTCAACTTGTTTCACATATCTTCTCTCAGAAGTTTTTCAGGTGCAGGTTTCTGCCTCTTCCACCATACCAGCATCTGCAGCAGATGTGTCAATTGGATGTGTGGGAGCAGGCAGATAAATTTGTGAATCTGCGTGACTGTGAAGACTGTAAGCATATGACAGCTTGCACCAAGGGCTATAATTTATTTTCTTTCTGATTTAATTTTCTTAATCAGGTAAAGATCCTATTAAAATAATGATAGAGAATTCTACCTATGTGAACCTCAGAGGGAAAATAGTCCACTTTTTTTGTCTTGTAAAACAGTTTTTATGATGAAACACTTGCCACCTTTGTACATATTGAAACACTTGCCACCTTTATACTCCATCATGGAAACAGTGTGTGTGATTGTGCGCATATACTCTGGAAGGTTCTCTGATGCTCTGTCCTAGCCCTTGTGACTTTTTTCTTTTCATCCATTTCTCTATAATTTTAAGCTTTTTTCAACAGGGGTAATAAGGCATTCTTTCTGTCCCTAACCTTGAAATGTGACTGCAGGAACATGCAGAATGTAATTTTCACGTAACTTGTTGTTTTAGATAGAAAAACAAGGACAAAACCCTCTACAGGGGTCAGAACCATGCAAAAATACCTGAGGAGGCCAAGTGGAAGCATGGTCTTTTACTGGTGTATATTAGAAGGTAAAATACTGAAAAATGCATTTTCCTGTTTCAGGAAATTCAAAAGTAAGTTTTTCTTGATTTCAAAATATGGCATCAGTAGATAAATAATTTTGTTTCAATGCAGCACAAGGATAACAAAAAGTTTCCTGTAGCTCTTTCTGCTTTCAAATGCTGGATATGGCAAAAGCAATGCACTGTGGCAACATTGCATCAATGCTGGCATCTTCTTCATGAAAATCATGAGTAACTGATATTTTAGTTTTAGTAACCTCTTAGCTTGAATTTGAATGCAATAAGAAGTGGAAATAAATTGTGCATTTTTACAGCTTTGCTTGCTATAGTTTGTATATGGTCGGTACAGTAAACGATGCAAATGTGCTTTTAGTTTTCTGGCTTACTCTGGACTTAATTACATTTGTCTTTGTTTATAGTGATAAATTCATGTCTTGAAATGGTTTGGCTGGAATCAGATGTTGTGCTAAGGAATTCGTCTGATGTTAGAAAAAACAGAAATAATATTTGCTCATGAAGTGGTGGAGAGGAAGCTCTTTAAAGAAGAGAAATCAACTAAGCCAGCAACTAAAGGCAGCCATGAAATAGGAGGCAATCATGGGAATATGCCTGGGAGATTCCTGGAGCCAGCCTGTGACTTAGAGTGTGGAAAGCTTCCTATGAGATTCTTCCCCTCCCTAACATGGTTTCCCATTGGAAAACACTAAGTTAAAGTAATAACAGTGTTCATATAGCATATCCTGCCTGCTCCTCCCTTTCCCATGTCATGTCCTTGACATTAGCAGCATAACAAAAGCACAAAAGTGCAGCAGGAAAAAGTCCTTTTATGTGTTACCCTTGGGGAAATGTGGGTAATTCCATTCACAGTCACTGCTGATATTCTGTGGATAGCCTGTTGGAAAGGTCTAAATGTTTTTAACTTCCAGCCTTAAATGAAAGGTTCTTGCTATCAGCCGAGTTTTGGCAGTGACTTGCATTGGGTGGGACTGTGCCTGCTGTGTTGCTGCAAACCAGTAGTCATAGTCAAGCTGCTTGAACCATGCCAGTTGTGATTTGTGTTGCTACCAACCTAAACAGGAGAAAGAGGGGAGAGTGTCCTGATGCATGTGTCACTCTGTGCATGTGAATGTTAGATACATTGTGGACTTTGTATTATAAGTTGAGACTTTCTTTTCTACTTTTCCTGAAATAAAGGAACAGTTATAGCATTTTTTCAAATGAGGAAAGCAAAAACAAATGAAGGGGGAGAGCGTCAAGACTGGGCCAGGAGAGTGGATCAGAGTACAGTTCTCTTCCCTGTCTTTCCCCAGAGTTCCTTGGTTGAAGTGAACTGTGCTGACATTGCTGAGAGTCTCTCCTTGTGGCCAGAGCTCATGTTACCTGCTCAAAGAGCTCAGCAGCTTGGTGCAGCCAATGCTGCTGCGACAGCATTGCTTTCCTGGGCTGCTCAGTGACATACACTAGGTTTCCCGCTCTTTGAGAACCTCTGACAATTAGTTATTGCTTTCACTGGAAAGGTATGGTTTGCTAAATCTGCCTGTTGATTTTTGTCAGAATCTCTATTGGACAAATTTGCAAGTTGGAATAGAGCTTTGTCCTGGGCTAGGGACTTGAATACAGGTTTTGTTCCATCTGATTTGTCACTGCTGTCCATGGCTCCTTCCTGCTGTAGAGAACAGCAATGTTGTTCCACAGGCCATTAGCTTTAGGGAGGACAACAGGAAAACCCAGATCATCATTACAAAAGTCTCTAATCTTTTCTTTTCAG